GTGAGAGATCAACACCATAGAAAGCTGGAATTCATGAGATTGACACCATATCTGCGTTAAGTACATAAATTTCTACTCTTTCTAAACAACTTGGTACTTCAAATGTTAATCCTATTCAGTCTATTTAAGTTGTGAAATTTGTGCAGGACATCATCATAGCAATTGTGGGAACACATATTTCTGCAACCAATAGATGGGTGACACGTAGAAAAGGAATATTCTTTAGGTCAATTGATCACCCTAATTAAATCCTATTTAATTAGGGCAATTATCTTTGATTTAATATGAGAATATCTCCCCAAATCAAGGATGAGATTTCCATCAAATCTCCTTGATTATTTCTAAGCTCTTATTTATGGGTAGGAATAATCCTAACCAAATAAGGATTATTCTTCAAACCCTAGCAGATAAGGAGTCTATAAATACATGGCTACACAAGACATTCAAGGTAATGCTTTCTCACCAGAAAAACCCTTTTCTTGCTGCCACTCTCTCTCCCACACGACTAAGTGCCACTCAGCTCTCCCCTTGAGAGAAAACTCCATCCACTTTAGCTATTATCATATCTTCATCAAGATCTAATCGAACATATTTGGTGCTTTCATTGAGAGATTTGAGATATACTTAATGCAATGCTCTTGAATCTTTATCAAGGAAATCCATTTCCTTTCCATCATCGGTTTCATTTGAAACCCTCAAATTATCATGGTGAGCTGCATCACCAGCGAAATTCTCTCTAACCACCCATGGCCTATCTCAGCCTATTTTGGCTCGGTGGAATTAATTCTGACTTCATCTCCCATCATCCAAGGCCTAATCTTTGAGTATGATTTGTTGAGGGGTGAATGCCTAAGATGACATTCACTGGTTTTTTGCTACTTGGACTAGCAGTCAAGAACATGAAGATAAAATTGCAACAACAACAACAAAACCACGAAGAAGCAGCTTGCTCTGTCACCGGCTCCGATCACCAAGTCATCGCGTGCAGCATGGGCTATCCTACATTGACTAGAGGTCTCCGACCTCCAAACCCTAAACTAGTCGTTCCTTCTCACGACAACAATGGTGTCCACACGGGGAAGGCTCTTTCTCTCTCTATTATGTGATGACCTATAAGATTTTTCGGGGAATACTTGTTCCTGTCCCTGTCATGAGGTTTTCACCTTAAATTTTCATTTAACTCAGTTACATTCAATTGAATTATAAAATTGAACTCATTGACTCAAAATCATCTTAAATCAATCTCATAAAACTAAATAAATATTATATCATATTACAATCATGGGTTTTTACCTTAAATGGTCCTCAAACTTATACCTGAGTTGCGTTTTGGTTCAAATGGTCCCCAACTAAATTATTCGTTCAAATGATCTACATACTCTTTATTATTCGGCGAATTGGTCCTATCATTACATTTTCTGTTGTGGGGGTAAATAAGACTTTTGACAACTAACAAAAAAAAATACAGTTAAAAATTAATACAAAATTTTCTTTATTTTTTAAATGAATTAAAAACCATAAAACAATAAAACAATAACAAAAAGTAACCCAAAACCCAGAGCCTCTCTCTCTCTCTCGATAGAGGGAGAAATGGTTATCGGGCTGGGGGCTAGGAGGTGGGGGAGGGAGAGAGGTTTTGTTTTAGTTTTTAATTTATTTAGTATTTTGTTTAACTGGACTGTTTTACCCTATATTTGATGGCAACATTGACAAAATGTAACGATAGGACCAATGTGCTGATTAATAAATTGTTGGTGGACCATTTGAACGAATAATTTAGTTGAGGGACCAAAATGCAACTCGAGTATAAGTTTGAGGACATTAAAACCCTATAATCATACATGGTTATATTATATTATAAACTACTTAAAAATAAATATATTACTTATTAGGCTCGGGGATAGGAATAACAATACCATCTTCGGCACTTCCCCGATTGAAGCTTTTTAAAATTCGGGGATCCCCATGCGTCCTCAATTTTCCCCCAAAATCTACCCCTATTAGGGTCGAGGACCCGATGAGGACCCAGATGAGAGGACTGTTGGATCCAACACCCTCCATTGGAGATGGTTTTTATTGGTGCTTTTCTTAATAAAAACTGAAGTAATATTGCAGATCAACGGTGCATGTTAAATCTTAGTGATTTCAACTGGAAAAAAACAAAAAAAACCAACAACCCAAATTTAAATCCAACGGTCAAAATAAAATTTTTAATTTATCAAAATCATATCTTAACCCAAAAACTCATCCCAAACTTTACAAAAATTCATTCATTTGTTAAATAATCATGCAAATAGAATTTCAATTTTTTAAGTTAAAATGTTTGAATAATTAAATCACAAAGGTACAAACAAAAACAAACTCAAGAAAAATTAACCACAAAAAATAGGAGTTAAACATTCTGAAACAATTGGGTTTTTCGCAGCAATGGTCCCTCAACTATACCCGTAGTTGCATTTGGGTCACTGAACTCAATTATTAGTTGCAGAAGTCACTCAACTGTGTGTTTCATTACACCAGTACTCCTTCCGTCAAGTCTAGCTAACGTGGTGTCAATTTCATAAGCAGATTTGTCTTTTGAAGTCTGGCATGTCCAACCTCCCATCTACAGCAACTTCCCTCCGAAAAATGTCAAATCTGGCGCCAAATAAATTCCCAATTCCCATTTATATTCGAAGAAAGCCACATAAAAACAGTAGATGTGCTGAAATTTTGGAAATTCGAAGGAAATCTGGGAAGCCCACACAATGCATGCGCAAAAATGTCGCAGATTTCTTCTTCATCAACAAATTCGAGCCCTAGTGCAAGGAAGCTATGCAGGTGCGGTGGATATATCAAAACCTGGACTTCATGGACTAATTTAAATCATGGGAGAAGATTTGAGGCTTGGGAGATGAGTCAAGTAAGTTAATCTGTGAAATTTTATTTTGTTGCTTGATGGGTTTAGCTTTGATGTTATGAAACGTACTTTGCAGAGAAATAGAGGAAATGGGCATCATTGGGAGTGGCTGGACGCACTGACCTGTGCAAGAGGGAAAATAACTAATTCTTGGGTTGTTGAGAAGAATGAGAGCAATGGAAGAGGACCTAAAGCTAATATAAGAACAGAAGAAAGAAGTGGAAGATAAGCTGAAAATGGTGGAGAGAGAAAAGAAGGAATTGGATACGAAGTTGGAGAACTAGGCAAGCAGAAAAGACTGTTTGAAGAGAAAAGAACAAGCCAACAACCAAGAGAGAATCAGATTTGGGGGGTTTCATTTCTGTCATTGGGTATGCTTACAAACAATTTCAATGACAATGAGGACAAAGTAAACAAGGAAGACAAGGTGCAGGCATGTGCAAGTGTGAAATCACTTCCATGACAAAACCGACAGAAATGGGACCACAGACAATAATAAAGACTCCAACTATATTTTTTTCCACCTTAAAGCCAAAACTTCATTGTCAACAATAGGACCACACATTTTCAATAATATATTGCAATATAAAATGCAAAATGAATATTTAGGTTATAGTAACTTACCATACTTGGGGGGTTCTCCAGACCACCGAAAAATTGTCTCCATTTGAAGAATCCTCCACGCACTGTAGGCCCGACACTTTTCTCTGTGATTTCCACGAAACTGAAATCCTATATCTGTACTTTATCGATTTTTTAACTCAAAATACTTCGCTACTTAGTCCATTAATGCATAATGCTGAGATAATGTTCCAAATTCCCCAAAAATCGAAGTCCAATGCCTCTCGATTTGAAAACCCTAGACGCGATTTTCTCCTTTTGCTCATATTGCCATTTCTGTGCAACTGTCGTTCTCTTCAAAACCAAAAGATTCGTTTTAATTACCTGAAAAGTCATATTTGCCCCTCACGAATCTATGAGATTCTCACAGATGTTTGTCACGTCATCATTTTAAACGAAAAAAACTAACGGACTTGACAGAAGGACTACTGGTGCAACGAAACACACAATTGAGTGACCACTGCAACTAATAATTGAGTTCAGTGACTCAAATGCAACTACGGGTATAGTTGAGGGACCATTGCTACGAAAAACCCTAAACAATTTAATAAAGTTGCTGGCCTAAATTTTGAGTTTGCAGGATTTGAGGAAAAAACTATCTTACATTTTAATAAATGGTCCATATTATCAGGGTGCTATCTAGAACCTATAATGAGTTGTACTGCTGGTTTTGCTGACGGTTTCTCACACACACTACCAAGGTGTGCCATCGGAGTTTGAACCTAAGTCTACTAGTCTACACAATACCATTTCCTATTGAGCTAGACCTTATTGGCACAGCCCAATTATATTTTTGGTCTCCACAAAAGCCACGAAATTAGCCACTATTAATTCAGGCTCAAACAAAAAAAATAGCAGCAAAACATAAAATTATGTTTTGAATATATCTAGTCTACTATTATACATAGGAAATTATGCAGAAGAATTGGTTGGACATGTAATATCAGGGCAATAGTTTCATTGCATGTTTCATTTTCAACAGTAATTTTCAAATGTTATTGAGTTTTAAAATTTATAAATCGTGAAGAAAAAAAGGGTAACATTGGAAACCACTCCATTCCAGAATAATCAGGATGGGGGTACAATTCTCTTTTTACAAATTTATAAATAAACTCAATCCTAGACATGTATTTATAAAAAAACCCAAGTACTATTTAAACATAGAAACACACCCAAAATCAACCCAAAAGTCAACTTTTTGGGTGTGTTTATAAATGAGTTTTGAGTGTGTAATGATGGGTTTTGGGTGTGTTTATATGTTTAAATAGTGCTTGGGTTTTTTTATAATTTCAACCCCCATTTTGGGTGTTTTAGTGAAACTTTTCTATTTTAGCATTCCAGCCAAGCAAACGTGCAATAAAGTATAATAATCAGAGGTCATTCATTTACGCATTGTTTTATTTGAAACCAATGTTATTGAATGTTGCAATACTTCGATGATAACAGAACTTGGATGGCATAAACACAGAATTTTGAAGAATTTTGAAGTGATTGATAGAGCCAAAATTAAACCAAAAGGAAATCCAACTTAGTCATCATTTTTCTCAACAGAAAACTATAACACAATGCAGGCTAAATTATTTTTAGTATGTCTAACGGATCTGTCCATAATGAGAATTATGGCGCAAAATGAGCTTCAAACCCTTTGCACCTTCTCCAGTTGATGACTTCTTCAGAGGGCAGCTGCTGTACCTTTCTCTCAAAACTGCATCGGGCACGTATGACCAAGTGCGCCCACGGGGAGAGCTATCAGGCCACATAAACCTCTCAGATATTGGATTCACCAGACTCTCACGGAATTCTTCAGCTGTCTCACAAAGCAAACCCTGAAACAAAGCCACAATCATTTTTAAAGCCTGTATTAATGTGACAAGGGTGGAAGGTGTGACTGGTTATAGTAATTGTAGTGGTACCTCTGCCATGGCTTTGATCTTCAAGGTGACATCATTACTTAGAAGGACAAGTTGTCCATCATTCTTCATCTTTCTATGCAAAAGAGCACAATCAAGGATATGGTCTTCTGCTGTTGGTGATACAAGGTCCATCAAACTCCATCTTGAAAAAGGCAATGAGCTTGTTGCCCCAGAAGGAAAGGCCCAGCTCTTATCACTAGATAGAGACTGCGGAGAAACAGGAGGGGTTGGAGCTATCAGTCTTCCATCTTCCATTGAGCTCTGGACATGGATCCACCAATTTGTTTTTACCATGCAATCTTCAATCCATTTGAGCACCAGACAAGCCTCTGTTTTCCTTCTGAAAAGACTTCCACGTTGCTTCAAGCAATCCAGTTCCCGTAAGACTGTTTACAATAGAAACATTCACAATTATTAGGATCAACTGTAATGAATGAACAATATGATCAGGCAACTGAAAGGATGTACGTAATTCAAATTTTGTTACCCATTCTTGGAATTATTAACCGAGTCCCTTTAAGACCTTGTAGAAGCTGCAATGACTTCCTTGATTCCTTGTCAAGAAGGGTAGTAGTGTCTGCAACCATAGTCCAGCCCCTCCTCTTTCCTTCTCCAAAAGATTTATTCTGAAAAAAAGCTTTGAGTTAGATGTTTGTACTTGATAAAGCTAGTTAGACCCATTGAAATTAATTCCTGAACAAATGTAACAGCTAGTTAGACCCATTGAAATTAATTCATGAACAAATGTAACAAGGGTTGCCAACTTACAAGGAGTGGATTGGCGACCTTTCCCGTGGTTCTAGTACAACTGGAAGATGCGCTGCTTCTTGTGGCTGTGTTTGGGACCGAGGTTTCTGATATGTTCTTGCCTCCAGAATTTTTAAGTAGTGATTGAAATGGCATCCTTTCTCTTCTTTCTTTTGTTTCCGCCAACTTTTTTTCCACCCTAGCTTGCTTTCCAGAAGTAGTTCCTACTGATTTTCTTTTTCGGAGTTCCTTCAATTTCTGGTTTTCTTTTTCTGGGGATACAATCAGATCTTGTTGACAGATACTGGAAATTAAACTTAGTTTCGACGAGGATGATCTACGTGACTTGGAATGCTTAAATTCTATCTCACCATTCCTTTTCAAGGACCTCAGTCGAAGAGTATTTGGGGTCAAATTTTCCTTGTCTGGTGTAAAGATTTCCTCCTCTAGTTCAATGTCATCACCATATCTTGCCTCCTCTGTTTTCCCTCTACTCTTATCTGTTTGAAGCTGAACAACACTAGCACGTTTACCTCTTCTTGCCCAAATGCTTCCCCTCATGCCTGATTTATTCTCTGATCTCAGTGGAGGGCTTTCACAGAGGTCTGATTCAGGCTGTCCTACTGCAGTAAAGAGAGATTGTGGGGTCTGGCTCTCTCTGTCATCTATTAACTCTGACAGTATCCCATCTAGTGTAGATGAGTTTATAGATTCTTTCATACGAGGTTCAGAATGGAGGCCTGTAGAATCCCTCTTTTCATGGTCTTCTGGTGACACACTTTTGTTTTCAGTTTCTCCAGTTCTTTCATCCACTGGACATTCTATTTCATCAGAATGTTCAAAATTCAGGTTAACCAGCAAGTTTAGTTCTGGTTCCAAGGTCAAGCTTTCTTCTTCAACTTGTTGACCTTCGCTCTTGGCAAGGACTTCCCCAAATGGAAAGGATAAGTTCTCCATCACAAGAGGAGACGAAAGACACGATACATCAGTCTGTCCATCATCTTTTCTCAATGGACTTTGGCTGTCAATTTTCTCAGGTACTTGAGCAGCAGGATAAGCTTCCTCTTCCTTTTCTTCTAAATGTTCAAAATTCAGGTTATCCAGCAAGTTTGAAATTGGTTCCAGGATTTCTTCTTCAACTTGTTCATCTTTGTCCTCTCCAAGGACATCGCCTATCGGCAAGAATAGGTTCTCCATGACAAGAGGTCCATAATTTTTTCTCAATGGACTTTGGCTGTCAATTTTCTCAGGTACTTGAGCAGCAGGATAAGTTTCCTCTTCCTTTTCTTCTAAATGTTCAAAATTCAGGTTATCCAGCAAGTTTGAAATTGGTTCCAGGATTTCTTCTTCAACTTGTTCATCTTTGTCCTCTCCACGGACTTCACCTATCGGCAAGGATAGGTTCTCCATGACCAGAGGTCCATCATTTTTTCTCAATGGACTTTGGCTGTCAATTTTCTCAGGTACTTGAGCAGCAGGATAAGTTTCCTCTTCCTTTTCTTCTAAATGTTCAAAATTCAGGTCAACCAGCAAGCTCGAATTTGGTTCCAGGCGTTCTTCTTCAACTTGTTCCTCTTTGTCCTCTCCAAATACTTTGCCGATCGGCAAAGATAGGTTCTCCATCACTAGAGATCCATCATCTTTTCTCAGGGGACTTTGGCTGTCAAGTTTCTCAGGTATTTGAGCAGCGGGATAAGCTTCCTCTTCCTTTTCTTCTAAATGTTCAAAATTCAGGTTAACCAGCAAGTTCGAAATTGGTTCCAGGCTTTCTTCTTCAACTTGTTCATCTTTGTTCTCTCCAAGGACTTCGCCGATCGGGAAGGGTAGGTTCTCCATCACTAGAGGTCCAGACGGACATGAAATATCAATCTGTCCATGGTCTTTTATCAATGGGCTTTGGTTCTCAGTTTCCTCAGGCACTTGAGCAGTAGGATAAGTTTCCCTTTCCGTTTCAATAAAAGAGGAACTGTCTGGGTTTTCATTTGGATTAGAACTAGATTCTTCCATATTCAAAAATAGGTTCACCGATTCAGTTCCAAATGCCCAGAAGCTTGAGAATTCATTCATTTCATCAATACCTTCTTCAATTTGATCAAAAATTGAGTAAATGCCATTTTCAGGCATTGGAGGTGCTGACGGGATCTCCTCCTTCCCACTTAGTCCAAAATTTTCATCAGGCAACAAGGATTCTATACCCACAGAATTTGAATCCGGAGATTCAATTTCTTTATTTTCAACTGACAGAGAATTCTCACCCTGTACATAACCAAAGAGCAAAACAAAAGAAAATTCTTATAAAGTTCATTTTCAAATGGAGAAGATTTCTGACCCAATTCAATTCAATTTGAATAAAGAGATGCAGAACAGAGAGAACCAAAAAAATTAAGAAACATCTTTTGGGCGTTCCACAACTTCATGTCCAAAAGAACCAAAATGCATAATTTAATTTTACTCAATTCGCATAAGAGAAAACAAAGAACAGAATCAAGAACAATTCAACAAACATATTTTGCGCATTCAACAAATTCACGTCTAAATCAAATAAAATGCACAAGAGATTACCTGGACTACTCCTTCTGCAGTTTCATCTTCATCATTATTTGTCAACGGAACAAAAGACGTTTCGAAATCATAGGCTCGACTCAAAGGTATCCAGTGAAGGCTGTAGACCCTGCTGGAACCACCAACCCTCAGTATGTCCCCTTCCCTCAGCTCCACCCTGACCCCTGGCTCAAGCCTCTTCTCCGAAACCCAAGTGCCATGCACTGCAACCAAAAACCCCAATTAACCCAATAAGTCCAAGAAGAGCAAGAAGCACACAAATTTCGGGGTTCTTTAAATTTTAAAAAAATCACTGAAAGAAACATGAAATGAGAAATAAGAAGCTACCTGATGATAAATCGGTGAGAGAGAGCTGCTGGGAAGAAGGGTTAGAGAGGATTTGGAAGTGGAATCTGCTGATGCTGGGGTGAGTCAGGACGATGTTGCAATCGGGGTGGCGACCGACGATCAAGATTTCTTCTTGGGTTTGTTGATGGATGGAGGAGATTGGTTTATTGGTAGGTGGGGGTGGGGGTTTGTTGACGATGAAGATGTTCTTGAGAATCGCTCCATTTTTAAGGACTGTGAAGACTGGGATTTTGGGCTCGTCGTCTTCTTCTTCATTGAGTTTCTTCTTCTCATTCTCGTTGGCCATGGTCACTGGCTGTCTTAGCACAGAAAGGGAAATTATGCTCAGTTTTTGTTCAAGAATTTGGATTCTGAGTAGGGACGACGATTTTATTTGAGAGAGAGAGATAGAGAGAGAGAGAGGATTTGACCAAATTATTGTAATTGCTGGACCTGGAGAAAATGTTTTGAAGGTTGTGGTGGTGTTTTATTTTGAAAAGGCGACCGTTGGGATTTTTTCAATTTTTATAACGGCTACTTCAGCTCAACTGACGGCGTTAATTTGTGCTCTCTCTCGGATCATTAAAACGAACAATTAAAGGATTTTTATTTTATTTTATTTTATTCCTTTTTTCGAAAATAGAGGTCCATTCCTATTTATTATTGTAAAAACATTTTTGTGTAAAAAAAAATTAAATTCCTGAAATCACATTTGATCACAACTTTACTGAATTAATGACAGTTTTGTTTTGTGAAAATTTTTAGTTAAATTTTGAATTATCACAACCCTTCTCTCTTATTTGGTCTCATTGGTTGTTACATCAAAGTTCATTTCAAAGCTTCAAAAAATGAGTCATTTATGTAGGTTGGGAGGCGTAAGCCTTGACACGTTAAAGCATAAACTTTTTGAAATTTTTTCTTATTTTTCATTTTATAGGTATATAAGTAATTATATAAGAAACTATTCATGATTTTCAAAAATAAAAGTAGTAAATTGCCAGTATTAATCACCCATTACTCTAATAAGCCTAGACTTTAAGAGGCCTCTTTTTTTCTTTTCTTTTTTTAATAAAACAAACGATAGTCTAAATTATTTTAAATTAATATAATATACAATAAAGAGGATTCGAACTTGGGTACAAGAGGCTGCCACTACACCACTGCCACACCAAATTAGATATGCCAGCCGCACCACCGTTAGCAGCTTAGTGCTTATGACAGTTGCGAGAAGCTTCTAACAGATACTGATCATTGTTAGCAAACCTAAAATACAAGGCCATATCAAGTTGAGGTTTTGTTATTGGTCAAAGACTGACCCCAAAACAGTATTTCACTCAAATAATAATGAAGTTCCAATTGCTTCTGTGAGCAGCAATCAGACTGCTTTTCACATTTCTACCATTGGAGATACCAAAAGGCTTTAGGAACTGGGGAGAATTGCTATTATCTTATTGTATAGAATCCAATCCTCATGAGAAACTAAGAAACCAAAACTGTAGGAGATCACAAGGGGGCAATTATCGTACAAAAAGTAATGTTACAAAAAGAATAGTGGTATAGGAATCTTGCGCATTGCTGAGTTGGTTGGTCATTTACACTATTCATGACTCGAACGGGAAACTTATCCCAACTCGCATCTAACTTGTACGGTACTGAGCAAAACCTAGACATAAAGATCTGAAATAAAAAGCCAAAAACAGCAAACCCCAAATTCATTTTGGCTGGCAATCCAGCATAGGAGGAGCTCAATCCTGCTTATTTTGAGAAAGTCTTGCACGATGTCTTAGCTCAGCTCTTTTCCACCTAACAATCAGGCAACACAAGGACAAGAGTGTGTTTATCTGTGAAAAAAAATAGAGTTCATGTTAAAACAACCAATTGCAAAGACATGATCAGATAAGCAAAGAAAAAGAAACCGGATAAATAAGCAAATCCATATACTAACCAAGATTATGATTGCAATGATGAGAAGAGGCCCAGACCAGACTGATGAGAGAAAAACTCCATTTGGATCAAAATAATTCTGAGTGGAAAAGCTCTTCCAGTTCTCACCCAGTAAACTATTGAGCCTCTCTGCAAGATATACTCCAGCCACTGCATAAAATAGTTGCCCATATAAGTATCTGGATAAGCAGCAAACATCCATAAATTATATTTTCCTTTTTCCTTTTTCCTGTGCAATAGATGTACATATTCCTACAACCAAAACGCGTTTATGTAAATTCACATGCTCAGTTCCCCACTTCCCTCACTAGTAGCACACAAGAACAGACCGTCAACACTTAACAGTGATGTCAATTCTATAAGCCCATAAATTCTACAGACCAAAACAATAAAGATAAACAAGTTAAAAAATTCAATAAACCCATATGAGAAGTACTGATGACTGGTTGGTGACTGATGAGTTGGCAAAGTTATCAACTCAACTAGTCTACAAATTATTACAAATCTACATTACAAAGCTAGCACAAAGGGAATGAGGAGCATGAAATCTTAATCATACAATTTATACCCAATTTAACTAAAACATCAATCCACTGATAAAGAATGAACAATTGTCCCAAACTCAAAACAGAAGCAGATAGAGTAGTATACTATTCTTTGGAGTGCAAGTCTTGAACTCTGAAATTAGATGTTTCAATGGCATTTCCTGAAGATTCAGAACTTATAACGAAAATGATACCTCCATATTAGAAAGAAATCACACAGCACATGCAATGCAAATATATTATATTAGCAGCTTCAATGAAAGAGCCTAAGGTGATCAATAAGTCGCCCAAAATATTGGGTATTGCGCCCCCATTTCTTAAAATAAGTTGTGTCCAGTACAGGCAAAGGAATTAGGGAACAACTCTTTGGTACCTCATCCTAAGTAGGGTATGAAACTTGGTCAAAGTTCCTATAGCATCTTGCCCAACAACTAGAAAGAGTCAAAGCTTGATTGAATTTGTTCCTCAGTTCTATGATTCCCTCTTCAATCCAGAGATGGTAACAAAAGTCATCCATACAGCCCAATTAAACTAATAGACAGTGAAAAACTTTTATCATTGGAGTCAATCAATCATTTGATTTCAACTACCCAACTTCCAGTAGAATGAGTTAGGCTACCATAACGCCCAATTAAACTAATAGACAGGACATAATTCCAAATTGTTTTAATGAAAATGCAAGCAAATAAAAGAGGAGCTCTGCTACCATATCACAGTGAAAGAGAATATTTCCTCAGTATCCCCATTGAAGCATCCGTACTCGGCAACCTGTTTCTAATGTCCAGTGAATGAACTGTGGGAAAAGATAATGGCCTTGTGCAACCATATAATTATCCACCAACTTACTTGCTCTGGATCAGTAGTGTAGTAGCCACTGAAACCTGATGGTCTATGCTAGAATAATAATTACTTCCATAAAACCATCTTGCAGTAAGACATGCTGCTTATATCTTTGAGGGGCCTTCTCAAATTACCATTCCCAACATGCTTCTAAAATAAGCTGTCAAATTACTTCTGGAATCATCAACTATTCTATTCCTGAAAGTCTACGAAAGGAGACCAGAAACATAATCATCAAAGGTCAATCCACAGCCCTAAGTTCCATTCACATCCATTAACACCATTTTCTATAGCTTCTTATGATGAAAGATTATTATTAAATCTAAAAATTGTTGTCAGCTGGGAAGAACAATCCTTCAGGGATCGACTGAAGGAGCAATCACACATTATACAGTCCAGAAAATAAAATCAAACATTACATGTTGTACCAAAATATACAAATTATATGTAATATTAAATTTATTACTATATCGGAAGCTACAAAGAGAATCTAGTTGGAAAGCATATGAAAGCAAAAATATACGGAACTTACATGCCAAAAGGAACAAAAACATTTGGAAGTTAAGATTCTTCCTGGAAGTAATAGCCACTATCAGCAACATAAAATGGATGCCGATTAAACCCATCAACCAAGGTTCCTGCACATAACCCATTAATTTAAATTAGATTTTCTTTTGCACTTTGTTTGATTTCTAGATAACCAAACAGAGCGAGAGAGAGAGAGGGCGTACCTTCCAGTTGATAGCGTGGAAAAAACCCAAGAAATTGTCCAAAGCGGGTTTAAGACCAGAACGTAACTCTGCAGAGAGTTTCTGGACGAGATCTGCCATTTGCTCCATGTGCTCCTCCATGGCTGACCGAAGCTGCTCCATTGTTTGTTGCTCTAAAATAAAGAACGGCGCCAAATCTCGTTCTCTCACTGTCTCTTGCTCTCTCTTTCTTCTTTTTCTTCAAGAAAAATTATTGAAGGAACCGTCTCAGATCCAAAGCAAAGACTTTGCTCTTACTTTTGAGTCCAAGGTTGCACAGAGAAGAGAGAGACGAGACGAAGAGATGGAATACAGTTTCACCTCGTTTGAGTGTTCAATCAACTCGAACCAATAAAATTAAAACGGGCCGGCCCATTTGTATTCCGGTAACTCTAGCTTTTCCTGTCAACCCACAAAACAAAATGCAAATGGGCCGAGAAAGTCTCAGTCCTATTTCTATTTTAGTTTTTTTTTTTTTTTTTTAAGGATTTCTATGTGGTGGCAAGTTCCACAATTTGATTCCTGTAGATTGATACCTATCGCAATTTAAGAATACGTTAAAATTTTCGTCCAATTTGGTAACATATAAGCATGTGCCCCGTACGTACAGGAATATTTTATTGGTCACGACGAGATGAGCCACTTCTTCAACCTATGATTCAAAATTTTCTCCATTTACTTGCCCTCATTCTAAACCCTCTGAAAATGGAATGAAATCTCAATCCAGTAATTGGCCCACATGCTTATTATGTCACAAAATTGGACAAAAATTTGGATGTGTAGTTGAATTGTGATTGGTATCAAAGTTCAGGGATCAAATCCTAAGAATTGAAATCACATGAAGTAACGCGGAAAAACCAACCAACTACATGGACCAATGTTGAGGCCAAATTTTAATTAAGGTTGGTCCATGTATATTTTATGCCCAATGCATTATCGTGCTATAAAAGAAGCCTACCCAAGGTACATGGAGGCCCACTAAATATGGCTACGAGGTGCATGTGCAAGCTTTGATATCCACTCCATACCAAGAGAGACTATAATTTAGCATGTGGAGAGGTCACGGTAATGGTTTAACCATTTCACATGTCCAAGCTCGCCCACTCTGTTACTTCATCAAGCATTATCTAACATGACCCCAAATCATTGTGTTATGAGCACTGCTACATAGTCTGAGCATGAGGATGCAATAACACACCAATGAGCAGCAAAGCTGGTCCAGGGTTTTCTAAGGCCCTTTAGACAAAATTAAACACTAAAATTACAATTTTTATAAAAATTAAACACTGCTAAGATGCATTTGGTAAATTTACAAGTGAAGCATTGGTCTTT